GTGATATCTGGTTATACACCGCCAAAGCTGTAAATTATCTCAGCAAGGAAACCAAAAACAAGTTTTTCTTTTATGTAGCCGAAACTTCATTCGTTTTATTTGCCGTTACTTTCTTATTATCAAGATTAATATTTTTCCCATTCGCTTTAATTAGATCATCATTGTAGGTGTTATATACAAACAGTAAATTAAATGTGTATATACTAATATCATTGTTATTTTATTCATTTAGATTTGAAGCATTCCATATTTCAGTAGATTTCCCATTATTTTATCCAGCTAACATTGCATTATTAACATTGGTTGGTTTACATATGTTTTGGTTTTTCTTAATTATTAGAATTGTTTATGCTAAATTATTCAAATCTCAAGATTTTGATGATATTAGAAGTGATAGTGATGAAGAAGACGATTGTAAAGAACAAATCGATGCTATTATTAAGAAGGGTTTAGAAGTCGAACATAAAAATATTCGTAACAGAAACCAACAAAATGTTAAACAACAACCACCACAACAACAACAACAATTAAAAAAGAAAACTCCACCACAATCCCCAAATCCTCAACAAAAAAAGAAAAATTAAAACTATAAAACATTAAAATAAAGATTTAAAATAATATTTTTTTTTTTTTTTAAAAATGAATTGTTTTTTTATTTACTAAAAATTGGAACAAACTTTTTTTTTTAAGTTAATTTGTTCACTAACAATCTATTTCCTTTTTTCCAAACTTGTCACCATTATCACCAAAGTAACGTTTAAATTAAATAACAAAATTTTTTTAATTTTAAAAAAAAAAATACAATTTCATTTAGTTTATTTTTTAATAATTATTAAATGGATTAACATCTGCATTATATTTTTCAAAGTATTTTCCTTTATTTCTATGATGCTATAATCAATAAAATTTTTATAAAAAATCTAAGAAAAAAAAAAAAAAAAAAAAAAAAAAATCAATTTTGTTTTTATATAAATTTGGTAAATAATTTATTTGGAAAATAATTTAAAACAATTTTTAATTTAAATAATTATTTTATATTTTATTTAATTTTTTTTATATTTTAAATAAAAACCTTTTTTATAATTTAATTAAAATAAAATAAAATTAATTTATTTATTTATTTATTTTATTTAATTTTATTTATATATCTAAATTATAAAAAATAATTTTTTTTTTCAAATTAATTTAATTAAAACAACTTTTTTGTGTTATTATTAAAAATATTATTTCTAATCATTATTGTATTATAATAATTTATTATCTACATACACACACTCTATCACATATACTATAAATAAATCCTGTTTTTACACCCCAAAAAAAAAAATAAAATAAAAATTAAATAAATTCAAAATTTTAATTTTTCATTAATATTTTTTTCAAATTAAAAACAATATTTATTGTTTTTTAAAATACAACAACCACACCCACCCTATCACATTAAAGCACACATATTTATAATTTTAAAATATAAAAACAATAGAAAAAAAATAATAATTCACTTTTTTTATTAATGATAAAAAGAAAATATTTTCAAAATTTAAAAAATAATTAAAAAATAAATAGGTTATTATATATTATTTAAAAACTAATAAATTAATAACAATCGAATTCATATATAAATAATAGTATATTTATAAAATTTATAGATTTATAGATTTTATTAAAATAATAATAATATAATGGATGCAAGTGGCCTGTCAGATATCGAATATGAAAGATATTACAATCCTGATAACTCAATTTTTCTATCATCTAAAAAATTAGTTTCGGAAATCCCAGCATTATCTTTTGTTCTTTGCAGTACATTTTTATTTTTTGTTGTTAGATATTTATGGCAAAACCATGTCTTAAAAGTAAGTCTCATCTTTTCCCTATAGCATAAATATAGTTTAGAGAGTAAATGACTAATCGAATTGTTCAAATTTTTATCCACAGCCTATCGCAGTTTCAATAAATATGAAAAAATCATACAGTGACAGATTTCTCGAAAATGGATGGTATTCGTTTTATTATTTAACATTTTTTATTTTTGGTACATATGTTTATAGTAAAGAAACTTGGTCAATTTTCCCCACTATGAACATTTGGTTAGGTTGGCCCATTCAACCATTTAAGTAAGTAGTTATAATCTAAAGGGTTTTATTGTAATATCAACAGTATTTATTAATACAATACTTTTTATTTATAAATATCCAGACCATTATTTAGATACTATTATTTACTAGAATTATCATTTTATATTCATTGCACAATTGCACTTTCCTTTGAAACCAAAAGAAAAGATTTTTATCAAATGCTCACACATCATGTTTCAACTTTCTTTTTAGTGGCAGCATCGTATTGGTACAGATATCATAGAATTGGTATTGCAATTTTATGGCTTCATAACATCAGTGATATCTTTTTATATAGCGCAAAGTCATTAAACTATGTATGCAAAACAACCAAAAACAATTACAAGCTTTATTTATTTGCAGAAACTATGTTTGTTCTGTTTGTAATTTCATTCTTTGTGATGAGATTGGTATTTTTACCATTCGCTTTAATTAGATCTACTTTGTAAGTATATCACACACTAACTATAAAAAACTATTAATCGTATTATTAACCACTTTTATTTTTATTTAAATTAGATTCGAAGCAAGTTATGTATCAATTTTTTTCCCTTTATTTTATCCAACCAATGTCTGTTTGGTTACATTAGAAATTCTCCATATGTTTTGGTTCTATTTAATTATTAAAATTATTTATAACAAATTCTTTAAAAAAGAAAACTTTGATGATATCAGAAGTGATAGCGACGAAGAAGAAAGCAAACCAAAATCTAAAAAATCACTGGAAGCTGAAAAACCTTCCACTGTCCGTAATAGAGAAAATAAAAAAAATAGCAACAACAATAAATCACCTCAAGCACAGCAAGCTAATAATAAACCAAAACAATCAAAAAAGAAAGAATAGTAGTTTAATTTAAAATTTAAAATTTAAATAAATAAAATATAACATTACAGCTCAATACACAATATTTATATATAAAAACACAAAAATATTTAAAAAAAACCTCCAGCCTCTTCATATTAAATGAAAGCATAATAATAATAATAATAATAAATAAAATACTATATTCATTAGTGTAAATTATTATATTAGATTTAAAAAAAAAAAAAAAACTATAATTATTACAATTTAATATTTATTTTTAAGATATCAAAAAACTAATCAAAGATACCATAATTAAAATATTGTGGAAACTATTATTACACTATTAATATTAAATATCTCCTTAAATAATATTAAAAATACCAGATATAGAAAATATGTGTTTATAAAAAAAAATTATAAAAAATTAAAAAAAATTAAAAAAAATTAAAAAATTAATATGAAGTTAACCCCCTCTTTATTTTTTTCAGTATTATTAATATTATTGTTTTAGTATTTCGTCATTGATCCTGTGTTTGTAAAATATTGGGGTTTTCTTATTAAAATAGAAAAAAAAGAAACACATATTAAAAATAATACAAAAGATTTTTATTTTTTTTTTATTTTTTTTTTTTCTTTAAAAACTATATTTTCTATTCTTATTTTTTTTTTTTTACTAAAAACATGTTAAATTATTTATAGTATTTATAATTGTTTATATATATTTATTTATTTTTATTTATTAATAGGTTTATATTATAAGAATTTATTATAATATAAATGGTATGTATAATAATAATTTTAGAATAAATAATTAAATTAAATTTACTAATTTTTTTATTTTCTTTTAATTTTATTTTAGTACTATAGTTGGATTTAAATGTAAATATTTTAAAATATGTGTTTTTTTATTTTTTTTTTTTTTTTATTTTTTTTTTTAATTTAAATTATATCTTTTTTTTTTTTTTATTAAATAATTATTTAATATTTACAATTAATAAATAGATAAATAAATAAAAAAGAATTTATCTAACTTTATTTTCTTTTATGCTTTTTTTTTTTTTTAAAAAAAATATAATAGCCTTAAAAAAAATTTTGTAATCACTCCATTATCTATTGTTTTTATTTTTTTATTATTACAAATAATAAATTGTTTTAATATAAAATCATAAATCATTTTGTTTGGTAATTATAAAAATATTAATCATAAACCCCATTAAAATAGTTTGTTTTTTAATTAGTATTTTGTGTTATTTATTTTATATAATAAATAATAGTAATAATCATCATATACATATATAATAAAAAATGGAATTTGAAAGTGATAAGTTATCATTAGAAGCTGCAGGTCATCTTTTTAAAAAGATTGGAAATCATGATCCAAAGACCATTGCTAAGGTTTTAATGAATGGAAAATCTCACCCATTAATCAAATTGGAAAAAAATGATTTGGGTGATGCTGGAATTATTCCAATTTCCAAAGCATTAAAGCAGCAAGCTATAGTATCTTCACTCGATCTCTCTTGCAATAACATTACATCAGCAGGTATCAAAGAATTATGTCAAGGTATAGCAAATAACAAGTATTTGATGTATTTAAAATTAGACAACAATCCTATTGGTAATGAAGGTTTCAAGGCAATTTGTGATGTGCTCAAAAGTAAAGAATGTGTTTTAAAATCCATTTATCTCTCCGAATGTAACATTACTCATCGTGGAATGCATTATTTTGTTGATGCTCTTCAATTCAATCGTTCATTGGAAACCATTCACTTAAACAGTAATAAATTAGGTAATGAAGGTGCAACTCTTCTCAGTAAATGTATTACAATTGAAGGAAAGTTAAAAAACATCTCGTTATTCTTTTGTGCTATTGGCGATGGTGGTGCAAATTCATTTTTATCTATTTTAGATAAAAAAGACTTTATTGACTACAAATTAATATCATTAACTCTCAAAGGTAATAAAGTCTCTCAATCCATTCAAGAACAAATATACAAAATTTTAATAGATAAAAAGAATGCAATTAAAGCAAATAAAATCAAAGCTGAAAATCAAATGTTTATCGAAGAAGAAATCAAACAAAAGGTTGCCTCCATCAATGAACAATGTGAAAAGAAAATTAAAGATATCGATGAACAAACTAAAAAAGAATTGAACGAAAAAATTAAAGATTTAGATAAAGAAAACAAAAAGAAATTAGAAGAAAGAATCAACAATATCAATGAAGAGTCAAGAAAGAAACTCGATGAAAGAATGAAAAATATTGATAAGAAAGAAGAAACTTTAAATTCTCGTAATGAACAATTTAGTGAACGTTTAAAGACATTTGAAAAAGAACAAAAAAGAAAGAGTGGTAAAGGTGTTTTAAATAGCTCCCAAGAATTAAATTTATCAAGCAATGGAATTAAAAAACCACAAAGAAAGAAATTCAGTAAGTATTTTAATTATTAAATTAACCTTATAAAATAATATTTTATTAATAATTTGTTTTTCTTTTTTTTAGGTGATAGTATAATCATTGTAATTGCTGGTGATAAGACCAAAGATAAAGATTTATTTATTGAGTACTGTATGACCGCTTTAGAAGGTTGCAAAATTGAAGCCGAAAATGACTTTGAAAAGATTTTTACTGGTGTAGTTACTGTAGATGATAAACCAATTCATTTCACCTTTGTCAATACTTCAAGTGATGATAGATACTCAAGACTTCGTGCCCTCCAATACGAACAAGCCGATGCTGCTGTAATTGCCTTTACCATCAATGATAGAGTCTCATTTGAAGATATTCCTTTCCAATGGATCCCAGAGATCGAATTTATGGGTAAAATTCCAATATTAATTGCCGGTATGTTCTCAGATAAACGTTCTGTCCCATTAAAAGCCACTGATATCTCTGAAGAAGAAGGTAAAGCTACATCTCTCAAATTTGGTGCCCTTAGTTATTTCGAACCAAACTCATCTATGGATATTAAAAACCTTGCTCATATAGTTTATAAAGAAATCAAGAAAAAGAAAAAATTATAAATAGTTTAATAATAATAATAATAATATATATACATTAAAAAATAATTTTTTATTTATTTTTAGTGAAATAAATAAACAATATTTCAGTTTTTTTAAAATTTACAAATAATACTATAATTTATTTTTTTTTTTATTTTATAAATTTGTTTTAAATTATTTATTGCCATTTAAAATATTATTAAAATTTAAACCCATTGCGAATGTGTATAGTTGAACGGCAACTAAACAATTTAACTTTTTTCTTAAATCCTCAATTTCATTATACAAATTATCCAATGCTAAATAATAAACCTCGATATCCTCTGAATCTTCTAACTCTTGACCTTGTGATATTGTTTCCTCTAACTATAAAATATAGTTTAATTAAAAAGTTAATAAACAAATAAATAAGTAGATAATATAAATAATGGTTATATAATTACATCAACAACACAAATTTTAGCATTTGCATCACTCATTCCACATTCTAAAGGTAAACTTGGAGATGTTAATAAAACCTTATTTGCAACATAACCAGTTTCTTCTTTTAACTCTCTAATTGCTGCTTTTTCAACATCCTCATCACCATCAACAAGACCTGCTGGAAATTCTAAAACCAAATTATTAACTGGTGGTCTATATTGAAGAATTAAAACTACATATTTTTTACCATCTGGCTTTTTAACTGTTGCTATAATATCCACTCCATCTGTATCACCTTTTTTAGTAGTTCTAGATGCTGATTCCCAAAGCTGTTTTTAAAAAACAATAACTATTAATAAAACTATAATTTTTATTATATATAAATTTAAAAATATTTACTCTTTCTCTTCCTTTAGAATCAATATAGGTAATATTGTCTAATTGGATCCACTTAAGTTTTAATGCTACATCAATTTTTTTAATTGATCCTTTGAGGTGACTCATTGTTGTATTTATATATTATTATTATAGTTTTATAAATAAATTTGATTAATAAAAAAATATTAAAAAAAATTTTAAAAATTATAAAAATTGACAAAAAAAATAAAAAATAAAAAATACAAATATAAAATTACAAGAACTCAACATTGAAGTTTAGATTAATTTTCTGTAATAAAGTAATAAATGGTAAATTTGAATAAATAGTTTTTAAAATATTTTTTTTTTTTTGCCCAAAAAAATAACTTTATATAAATGTTTTTTTTAAAAAATAAAATTATATTATTATTTTATTTAGAAAGCTTTGAATTGTTTCTTGGAGGCGGCGTTAGCTTCGTGTTTGATGACGTTGAATCTAACAGTTTTTGATAATGGTCTGCATTGACCAATGGTAACTGAATCACCTTCTTTAACATTGAAACATGGTGAGACGTGAGCTGGGATATTTGAGTGTCTCTTTTCAAATCTGTTGTATTTCTTGATGTAGGGGAGGTAGTTTCTTCTGACAACGAGGGTTCTCTTCATCTTGGTTGAGATGACAGTACCACGAAGGATAGTACCCCGGATTGAAACATCAGAGGGGAATGGACATTTCTTATCGATGTAGGTACCTTCAAAGGCGTCTTTTGGGGTTCTGTAACCAAGACCGATGTTTTTGTAGTATTTGATACCTTCTTTACCTTTGGCAGATTTTAATTGGTATCTGTTTTTGAATGAGACTTGTTGCTTTTGGAAAGCTTTTTCAGCCTATAATATAATAAAAAAAAAAAATCAGTTAATATAAAATTTCTTTGTTGATTTGACTATTTTTTTTATAAATCCTTTTCATTGTTTTTTTTAAATGGTTTTTTTTTTTTTTTTTCTGCTGAAAAATTTTTCGTTTTTTTTTTTTTTTCTTTTTCGTAAAAAAAAAAGAGAGAGATTATATACTATAAACCTAAAATCCACAAACTATTTTTAAATATATTATATCTCTATTATTTATTTATTATTATTTTTATTGAAAACCTAAAATTCCCTAGAGTCATCTTTTTATTTTATTTTTTATTTTATTTTTCTAACCTGTATTTTCCTCTTTCTAATAATATTTTTTTTATCCTATATTATTATTATTATTATCTATTTTTTTTTGGTTGATGTTGTTATTTATTTTTTAAAAAAAAAAAAAATGTTGAAATTTATTTGTATTTATCTTTTTTTGTTTTATTTTTTTTATTTTTTTTTTAACCATTATTAAAATAAAACAGAATGAAAAGGATCTATTGTTTGTTTAGGTAACAATAATATTATATAGTCAATATAATAAAATCATATACAAATACACACTTGGATATCGGCCATTTTGAATTATATGTACTAAAGACAGAAGCAAAAAAGAGAAAAAAGATTATTTTTTTTTTTTTTTTTTTCTTTTTTTTTTTTTTTTTTTTTTTAAAATTTTTTTTAAAAAAAAATTGAATTTTTTTATGAGGCAACCAGCCACGAGAATTTTTTATATGGCATTTTTGGGGGTATGTAAAAGCTTTGTAAAAAATTTTTCGGCAGTTTTGTAAAAAAAAAATAAAAATGGTGCTTTTGGTAAATAAATATTAAATTTCAAATCTTTATATTTTTTATAAAAAGTTAATTTTAAATTTGATTTTCATTTATAAATCTTTCTTTTTTTTTCTTTTTTTTATTTATTAGTAAATTATTATAAATAAATAATAATAAATAATAAAAATGGATTTTGATTAATAATTTTTGTTGTGATTTTTTTTTTCTTTTGTTTTATGGTTTATTATGATTGATGTAAACTATAATCTATTAATATTAATATAATATATAAATATGATGAAAAATATTTAAATAGTGTTTTTTTTGTATTTTTATTATCTACCAAATAAAAGTGATTATATTTATTATTCAAATAAAATATTTTTTTCTTAATTTTAATAAAAAAGATTTTTTTCGTTTTATTTTTTTTTTTTATTTTAATTTTTAATTTTTTTTTTTTTTTTATTTAAATTGTTTTTTTAATTTTTAATAATATGATTTCTAGAATAACCAATTCACTACGTAGTATTGGAAATAAATATAAAAATAATAAAAATGGTATAGCTTATTTACAAAGTGATCAAGAGATGGCTGATACCTTCAAAACATTCATAGCAACAGAAACATTCAAATCAGTATACTATAATAATGAGGGTGACTTTAAAAAGTTTTTGGATAATTCAGATAACATCAATGGTATATTGAACGAGGCAGAAAACACCAAATATATGAAGCAAAAAGAATCAATTTCACAGGTTTTAAATACACAATTATTGGAAATGTACGAATTAATGCATTCATATGGAGGAAAGAACAGTTATCCACCACCACTCAAAGATTTACCATATTATTCAATGGAGGAGAAATTAAAGAGATGTCTTTCAATTAAAGAGACTGACAATAGAGGCGAACCAATCGAGCATCCACGTGGTTTTAAAATTCATGTTAAAAGTTCTACAGTAGATCATGAGGAGGCAGGTTATGGTGTTTATATAGAGGGCGAGGTTATACCGGGTACAGTGGTTGCATTGTATCCAGGCGATACATATGATGGAGAGAATATACCTCCATCTATAGTTAGGGAAAATGAATATATGATGTCAAGATACGATGGCACTATTATCGATGGGAGATCATGGAATAAGAAATGCGACGAACTTACATTAAAATCAAAAATGTTTAAAGAAATTGGAACCAATGTCAAACCTACAGATATATTATGTTACAGAAATCCATTTGCAATTGGTAATTTTATAAATCATCCACCAGCAGATGATCAACCAAATGTTATAGCATATGCTTTCAACTATAGAAGAGGATTTCCTGATCATTTAGTTCACTATATACCAAATCGTACAATTACAGAAAATCAATATTTCAGTGATAACTCTGTCATTCGTAGAGGAGTTGTATTAATAGCATTCAAACCAATTATAAATAGTGAACTTTTCTTAAACTATAGATTTAATCCAGATTTACCTTATCCGGATTGGTACACCCAACCAGACTTGGAGGAAGCAAAAAGAAGATGGGGTGAAAGAAGAAGCATTTCAATTCATTCAGTTTTAAATAAATTTAAATAAAATTAAATATAATAATTAAAATAAAAATTGTAAATAAAAAATAAACTATTATAAATTTTAATATTTATGATATATTAAATAAATATATAAAACTATTAATAATAATCTTTTTATAAATTCTTTTCAAAACAAAATTTATATTTCTAAAAACTATATAAATATTTCTAAAAAAACTATAATGCTAAATTTTAAAAAAAAATTTTTATAATTATAAAAGAGAGTAATTTATTTATTTGGCAGATTTCTTCTTTTGGAGTTTCTTGGCGTAGAATTCTAATTCTTTACCTTCAAGAATGTAACCATCACATTTACCAACTTGACCTGGTCTTGAGGTGATTCTGGCGTAGAAACGACCTTCACCGATTTGTGATTCGAGGGAGGTTTCTAAGGTTCTACCTTTTTGACGGGCAGCGAGTTTGGCTAAAAGGTTAGCTGATTTTTTGACAACTTGTTCAGTTTCACCTTCCTTTTTGACGGCTTTCTTTTTACCGACGGTGACACCGTAGTGTTGTTCATACCATTGTTTGTATGGGGTTGAATCGATTTGGACAATTGAACCTTTAACGAGGGTATTGGTACGGACTAAATCATTTGAAGTAGCGTTGTAAACGACATTGATGATACGGCATTTACGGGTGACTTTTTCTGAAGCCCATGAGAAGTTACCAGTATCTAAACGTAAGGCACGGAATTTGGTAGCACCACCTCTAACTCTGATGGCTCTGACACGTTTTTCTTCACCAGCTGAACATAACTTTGTCTTGGCAGCTTGACGACCTAATTCGTACTTTCTCTTTTTGTAATTTGGTTTACGAGCAGCACCGGTGGCTCTATATTATATTAAAAAAAAATTATATATACATAATTAATATCATGTTTTTTCCCTATTTTTCTGTAATCCTCATCTAAATTTTTTGATATATACCTGTGTTTGTGGAGACTGTCACGTGAAATACCTATTATTATTCAATTAGGATATAAATAATATGTTAATATTCAATCATTCGTTCGTTTAACTATGCTCTCTCTTTTTTTCTGATCAATCATTTATCTATTGTTATTTATTGTTATCTATTGTTATCTATGGTTATCTATTATTAATCCACTTTAATCCACTTTAATCCACTTTAATCCAACATTATTTGATGATTCTAGAAAGATTGAGAGGGCATTTATAGAGATAATGTGTCATATAGATAATTTACCCATTGTTATATGTCTATGTGAACGAGGAAAAAGACTGAGGAAATGCAAAAAATCAGTTTTTTAATTTTTTTTATTTTTTTTAATTTTTTTTTTTTAAAATTTTTTTTTTTTACATTTGGGCGTAAAATTTTTTTTTTTTTACACCAACGTTTTTTTTTTCCCCACCAATAATTATTTATATATCTCTGAACTTATTTAATCACAAATATCATTTTTATTATTAATTTTGAAATCATTAGTTATTTATTCTTTTCTACTTTTTTTTTTTTTTTTTGTCAATTTATTTTTTTTTTTTTTTAAATAAATAAATTTTTCATTTTTAAATTGTTTTTAATAAATAACAAAAATAATAAATAATAAATAATAAATAATAAATAATAAATAATAAATAATAAATAATAAATAATAATAATGGTATTTATAACAATAGTTAATTATATTTCTAAAATTTTTAAATTTACAAAGTTTATAAAATTATTTTTTTTTTTTTTTTTTCAAAAAATATTTTTTCAAAAATTTTTAGTTTGTTGATGAATCGTCATTGTTTAATTTTCGATTTGTGTTAAAAATAATTCACATCAAGATTCTAATAGAAATTTAAATATAATATTCAATGTAAGTGTTATTTATAAATATAATGTTAACTCATTTTATTTTAGATATTATAAAATCTCAAGTGTTTCAAAATTTAGATTTTATAATATTCTTTTAAAAAATAAAATAAATAAAATAAATAAAAAATAATATAAATTATATAAAATAATTAAAGATAATAAAATAATAAAATAAATTACAAAAATATAAAATAATTTAAAAAAATAAAAAAAAAAATAAAGAAAAAGGTGTCCTACCTAATTTTTTAGAATCCATAGTTTTTTTTTCATTTTTGTTTTATACCTTTTACAAAATCTTTTATTTTTTTATTTTTTTTTAATTATTTCATTTTAATGCCCTGGTATTTAATTGAGATATTATAATTGGCAATAAAGGTTATTAATTGTTTGGATAGTTTTAATTTTAATTAGAAAATAAAATAAAAGATAGTTTAAAAAAATAGGTTGGATATTTTTTAAATTTTAGAAATTTTTTAGATAAATATAAAATTTTTTTTTTATTATTTTTTTTTAATTTTTGATTTGAATCGAATATTTTTGAAATGTTTTTAAAGTTTTTTTTTTTTTAAACATTTCATAAATAAAATTTATAAAATTATAATAATAGTAAAATTATAATAATAAAAATATAAATTTAAAATGGGTTGTGCAAAGATAACAGGTGTTATCGCTTTATGTTTAACAATATTATTCACTGGTTTGACGATATATTACGGATTTAAGTTTTTTAATGCTTACGAGTTAGGAAAAAGCTATGAGGAAACTTTATGTACAGTAGAAAAAAAGGTAGATAGTGGTTTATGCAATGTAGACTCATCATCGGAATGTTACAAACAAAATGATGATATTTGGTGGTATAACAATTGGGGTTCAAATCCATGGATTATTATAAATGGTGGTGGTTATAGCACTGGAGGTGGTAATTATGATGGCGGCGATGATGATGATGATGATGATGATGACGGTGAATATGACGAGGGTGGCAGAGACACTGGTGAATATGATGATGATGACGATGGCGGCGATGACGAGGGTGGTGAAGATGTGGGTGGTGACGCTGGTGGTGATGACGATATCATGAGAGAATATGCAATCAAGGGATACAAAAAAGAAGGTGCTACATCCGGTGCTGGTGATTTATCAAATCTTAGAGAGTTCAAAAATATTAAAAAATCATTAAAACAAAAGATGGTTTCAGAAGTAAAAGCTAAAAATATTGTTGAAGGTAGCAGCAGTCACAATTCAAGCAGCAATAACTTTAGTGGTAGTGTTAACAATAGCAGTAGTTCTTTCGATAGTAATAGTTATTCCGGATGCAGTGATGATTGTTATCAAGGTATTTTCACTGTAATTTATAATGTAGGTAATGGTACATTAGTAAATTCAACAATCAAGGGTTTGGTATCAGTCGAAAGTGATTGGGTCAAAGCATACTTAAATAATTATCACATTGGTTACAATTATACATGTTGGTACAGCTCAAGAAATGTTGATAATGTAGTATGGTTTAAACCACCAAAGATTAAATCATCATATCTTGCAGGTTTTGTTATTGATGGTATATTGGCATTGATTTCTGTAATCGTTGCAATCTTTATGGTAGTTAGAATTTGCCATCACCATAGACACCACCATGGTTATGAAAGTATTAATCATTAAAACAAACAACAAATACAACATTAAAATCTACAATTAAAATAGTTTATATATTTTTAAATTTGGAATTCAAATTTAAATATCTTTGTATTAAATAAATAAATAGTTTTCATGAATTTTTTTAAAAATTATTTTATCTTTTATTTTATTTATAAATTAGTTTAATATTATTTTCGAATAACTCTAAATTATTAATATTAAATAGTTGTTGAATCTTTGGGGCAATGTTATTATTATTACTTATAGATTTATATTTTTGTTCTAATAGTGTCATTAGTTGAAGTTTTGAATTGTTATTATTGACGGTTAATTGTATCATTATAAAGAGTAGTTTTGTAATTTTATCTAATGCTAAGAAATTTAAAAGATATTATTAGAATTTATAATATTTTGTTATTATTAAAGATTTAATACATACAGGTTTGATATTCAGAGTTATAAAATAAATTTAAAATTTTGATATATTCATGTAATAAAATATTAAAATCGAAAAGTTGTGGTGTTGATCTAATATTTGTAAAGTAATTAACAAGTGAGTCTAGTGCACTGCCATTGATTGATGGGCTGATATTATCTAAGCATTTGTTGATTAGTTCAAAGTAGCCAGAGTTTATATCCGATGTTAATACTATAGTCAAAATTTTTTTTTTTTTTTAATTTTTAAAAATAATTAGTATTTTTTTTTTCTTTTTAAAATAACAATAGTCTATATTTACATGATGGGTTATTAATTTGTATTGAATTAACTAAATTCCAAATTTTTGATAATAAAAGTAAACCTCTGCTTTGATTTGATTGATTAAAAGCTTGCTCTAAAGAGAATTTATAAAAGGTATCAAAGAGACCTTTCGAAATTTGTGTTGATAGATTTGATTTGAATGTTGAGATTACAGAAGAGATAAATGAAATGGTCTTTGGTAATACCTCGGTGACGTATATTTGGGATGTACGAGTTGGGTCTTGACAAAGTGCTTCCAAGAATAAAAGCAAGGTATTTTGGAGCGATGGATCAATTGGTGTATTGCTACTGGTGGATTGGTTATCAATGTAGGCTGTTAATAGTTCAATAATATTTTTTTTAAATGAAATTTGTGAGCCAGAGAATTTTTCGATTGGTTGGTGCTCTTGATTTGACCACTTAAAGAGATCAATTAAAATTGGATAGAGTTGTGACATTTGAACATTAAAGAGATTCTTCATAGATTTTGCTAAGGAGATATTAAAGTTCAAATTATTATTAATTGTATTGCTCCATAGTTTAAAGTTGTCTTGATAGTTGTTGTTTGATTTTAACTTTAAAACATTAAAAATAAAAGTTTATATTAGTTATATGTGTATAAAAATAAAAGTATTACTATGACCACTTACTTGCTCGATTAATGGATTAAGAATTTGTGTTAAAGAGTTATTATTGAATTGGCTTTGATTAAATGTGTAGAAATTAAAAATAAATGAACCAATACATTTATAAATCATTTCAATTTGTGATGTATTGATACTAGTTGCACCTTGTTGTTGTATAAATTGGTTTAAAAATATATGAAGCTCTGGGGAATCTAATGAAATGTATTGCTTTCTAGTACTAATTATTATATCTAAAGTAATAATTGAAATTTGGACAAGTGATTGTGATTTTGATGGTAGTAATTGGGTGATAATAATTTGAAGTATAGATTTAATATATTGAGAGTTTTGTTGAAATTCCAAGTACTTGGTTGAACGACTAATAAAGAATAGGAGGCCGCTTATCATAGTGAAACGTTTGTTTTGTGCAAGCGATGAGAGAGTTTTATCGTCAATAATTTTGCCAATAAAGGTATTGATAACATCGAATTGGGTACTAAATTTACAAAGATAGCCTAAACACCAAAATGTTGAGTTCATTTTATGCTTTTCATCACCACTACTTGATAATAAATCAAATAGTTTTTTAGTAAAAAAGTCAAAGGCATCATTAAAGCAAATTAAGCCGATGGATTCTAAAGTTTCTGAGAGTAAAGTTTCAACTTTTTTCCATTCTTCTTCTTCGTCATTTTTATCTACGATTGCTGTTGTTGTTGTTGTTTCGGTACAATCTTGAATTTTTGTAAATAAAATACCTTTTATTTCATTATCTTCCTCTTCATCGTGATTTTCCAAGATTGCTAAAATACTAGTAAAGAATAAGGGTATAGATGAAGCATGTAGTTGAAGTCTAACCTTTTGATTGTCACCAGTTGTTAAAAATCCTTTGTAGAGTTGGTTAAAGTATTCTAATACCAAAGTTAAACGATCTATTGGCAATAGTGGCATAATATTAATTAAATACTTTTCACAATACAGGGTAGTTTCGGTATCGAGCGTTTCGAGGACCAATAAAAAGTTTTTAAGATATGTGGTAAAGAGAGTGGCAATATTCTCGAGAAGCATAGTTGATGATTTAATCTTTTCTGGAATGGATTTCGAACAGGCAACAACCATTGTTTTGAAAATACTGGAGACTACTTGATTAAGTTTTGGACTAGTTTGACCGCTTTGAGCTGCTTCAGCCATAACTTTTGAAACTAACACGTTAATATGTTCACTTAAAGTTAATACATAGGAATTGGTTTGGTTTTGTTGATCATTCATTTTATTTATTAAAAATAAAATTAAATCTAATCTGAGGCAATGGTCAATGGTAACCAAATCGAATAGTGATGATACGGTCTTGAGAATTTCTTTAACCAGTTCATCATATATTGGCTTTTGTTGAGAGGTTATATTTGATTTGCTCTTTTCTAAAAAGTCAAATAGTTCAAATGCTTTGATAAAAATCATATCGAATACATCTTGAATATTTTTCAAAGTTGATTTATAGTCGTCTTCTTGTTTAACGTAAACACCCAAGTTGCTAAAAACCATCATTACGCCATACAATTGATCTAGCTGATAAGAGGCAGGTTCCGAGACACATTTTATGAGTTGTGAAATGTAGTTTTGGATAAATTGAAAAGATTCATTAGAGTTGTTTGAATTTAACCATTCTTTAACAATGATTTGTGAAATTAATGAAGCAGCTTTCTTTTTGACAATGGATGCATTGCTATCACTAGAGGAAAAACTAAGAGTAATTTGTAAAAGTTCAGTTACAATTGATGATTTTTGTTCTTGATTTAATTGATTTAATAATTTCTTTTTAATTACACTATTTTCTAAAATTGTTAAACCAAAAAATTTGATTCTATTGCTACTTGATTTTAAAAGTTCGTTAACCTTTGTCCAAGCTAATTCGTGGTTTATAAATTTATTTAATAAATCATTATATTTCTAAAGATAGGATAAAAGTATTAGTATTTTTGTATGGCATAATAATTTATATTGGAGTGTTTACTTGCTTGTTGTTGTTCTAAAATTTGGTCCAGTGTCTGTAAATTTAAAGGTGTGCTAAAATCCAATATTTGTTCCATTATATTACAATATAGAAAAATAAAATAAAAAAGAAATATATATATAACAATGAAATTTACAAATTAAAATAAATTAAAATTATAAAAAAAAATATTTTAATTTTTTTTTTTTTTTTTTTTTTTATAATAATTTTTTAAATTTTTTAAATTAGAATTTTCATTATTCGCTCAAGCATTTTTTAAATTATAAATTTCATTATTCATTCTAATTAAAAATAGTTATATTTATAATATAATATAATGGCTGAAACTCCTTTAATTCTTGGATCATCCTCCATTTGGAGAAAAAAAGTTTTACAAGATATGGGTTATAAATTTAAAACAATGTCACCCGATATTGACGAAAAAGTAATTATAATAATAAATATAAAATTTATTTATTTTGTTGTAAAAAAAAAAAAAATAGAAAAACAAATACTAAATATGTAAATAATATTTTATTTAGGCAATTAGAGATACTGATCCCAATAAATTAACATTATTAATTAGTAGAGCTAAAGCTGAGGCATTATTAGAAAGAATTAAATCATCTGATAATGAAGAGGATAAAAAATCGATTATGATTTGTTCAGATCAAGTTATCGTATGTAATAATGTAATTAGAGAGAAACCAATTTCAGAAGAAGAATGCAGATCATATTTAGAGAGCTATGAATTCCATCCAGCCGTTGCTGTTGTCAGTGTTGTAGTCGTTAATATTGCAACTGGTAAAATTGTAGAAGGTACAGCAGTTGCTACCCAACATTTCAATAAATTACCAAACGAATTTATTGATAAATTAATTAAACAAGGTGATGTTATGCATTGTGCAGGTGGTTTTACCGTTGAACATATGTCTGATTACACTGGTCCATTAGATGGCGAAATTGAAACCATCATGGGTTTACCAAAAACTCTTACAACTGAATTAATTGAAAAGGTTAAAATTTAATAAAAGTGAATATTTCAAATGTTTTTTTTATCCACAATAACCATAATACTGAATATATATATATCATGCGTATTTCATTTTTTCCCTGTCACCCCCCAAAAAAAAAAAAAAAAAAAGAATAAACAATTTTATATCTATATTTTTTTAACATTTTTTTTATTGTCGGGAAAAGTAAATAAACCAAAATGTATGAATAAGATGACAATCACGAAATTTAACCAAAAAATTTATAATACCAGTACAGCCAAAAAGGCGTTAAGGAAAAATAATTTTTTTTTTTTTTTTATTTTTTTTTTTTTAAAAATTTTAGTTTTTTTTTTTAAATTTTATAAATTTGTTTGTGTATCCATCAGATATTTTTAATAAATATTTAAATAATATTTTTTTTTTTTTTTTTTTTTATCTTCTATTTAGAAAAAAAGAAAAAAATACTAATTTTTATAGATAATATAAAAATGAAGTTTTTATTATCATTAGTATTTGTATTATACTTTTTAGCTTTTTCAAGAGCTATTCCATCTATTAGTATCACACCATACCCAGTTCAAAACTCAAATGATGAGATCACAATTACTTGGAGCGGTATTGATAATCCAACTAAATACGATATAGTTGCAATTTACTCACCATCAAATGCAAGTGCCACACATCCAAATGGTTATATCCAAGTATCACAATCACCAAGTAGGTTTATTTTCTATTTTACTAAAGTTATAGTAATTTGGGTTATTTATTTAATATTAATAATTAATAATTTTTTTTTTTATTTTTAGGTTGGAAAACAGGTTCAGGTTCACTCTCAATTCCATTATTAAATGTTAGAGAAGATTATCTTTTTAGATTATGGTCACCAGTTGTTAATTCAACCTCACCAGTTTTAAAAATATTTACAAATATTTCATTAACAGTTATTGCTACATCACCACCAGTTATATTTAACAATCCAAACGAACCAGGCAAATCTTATCTCTCCCTTACCAATAATACAGACGAAATGAGATTAATGTGGGTTAGTGGTACCAATGATTTACCAAGTGTTTACTATTCTACCGATCCAAAATTCTCTGAATATTCACTCACCGCCACAGGTACATCAATTACCTATGCAATTACCGATATGTGTGCTTCACCAGCAAACAGCACCAACTATTTCAGAAACCCAGGCTATGTCCACGATGTTGTTTTAACTCAACTCGAACCAAATACAGTTTACTATTATTACTTTGGTAGTATTAATGATGGTTGGAGCTCTGTTCGTTCATTTGTCACTCCTTCATACACTGCATCACCATCACAATCAGAAGCATTTGTTGTCGCTTTTGGAGATCTTGGTACCAATTTCCCATTCACTGCTATGGTCGAAACTCAATTTCCAGCAAGTCAAACTATCGCTTCCATTTTAAATACTATTAATGTTCCATACTCTGAATCAAGTTTCTTTAAGAGTTTTGGTGGAACACCAAAACAAAGAGGTGATCTCTCACCATCACTACCACCATTCTGGAATATTCATCATATTGGTGATATCTCATATGCCAGAGGTAAAGCATTTGTTTGGGACTATTTCCTCGATGCTATGGAACCAATTACATCTAAAACTCCATACATGGTCTCAATTGGTAATCACGAATACGATTTCACAGGCCAACCATTCGATCCATCATGGGCCAACTACGGTACCGATAGTGGTGGTGAATGCGGTGTTCCATTTAGCAAACGTTTCCACATGACCGGTGCTGAAGACTATTCACGTAATCTTTGGTTCTCATATGACAATGGTCCAATTCACTTTACAGTCATGTCTGCAGAACATGATTTCTTACCAGGATCACCACAATACGAATGGCTCTACAATGATCTTGCTAAAGTCGATAGATCTGTTACACCATGGTTAGTTTTCTCTGGTCATAGACCAATGTATACCTCAGCCCTCGCAGAAGATGGTATTGGTATGATTAATGGTCTTCGTGATGCCATCGAACCACTTTTCGAAAAATTCGATGTTAACCTTGCTCTTTGGGGTCATGTTCATATTTATGAACGTACTTGTGGTATCTATAACTTTACATGTGCCGAAAACGATAATGAAGGCACTGTTCATGTTGTTATTGGTATGGCTGGTAACACTTACCAAGTTCCATGGGATGGTTCAGACATCAGCTCACAAGGCAATGGACACGAAAACCAACCAGATTGGTCAATCTTCAGAGCTATTGACTATGGTCATTCAAGACTTTATGCTAATCAAACCAACCTTCTTTTCGAATTTGTTGCTAATCATAGATCATTAGTCCACGATTCATTCACTTTAACCAGTAAATATAATTAAATAATTTTTTTTTTCTTATGTAACAATTAGTAATCAAATCAAAATTTAAAATAAAATATAATGGTTTTTATTAAAAATAAAATTTTTTCCACATAACAAAATACATTTTAAACCTATATGTAAATTTTACATAGTAATATTATGTTATAATAATTTTAAAATATTTTTTTTAAAATAAATAATATTTTATAATTGTACTACTATCTTTTATTATGTTGGTATTTAAAGTGTTTCTTTTGGATTGTCTTGTAGTTGTTTTAATCTTTGGTGACGTTTAACAATATCTTTATTTGAAGGATTTAAAATATTGGCTGCTTCAAAATCTTTATTTGCTAATTCATAATTATTTAATTGAGAATAAGCCTCTGCTCTTGAAAATAGTATTAATGATGGATCACCAGTTTGATAATTGATTAGATCTGTTAAAAATGAAATAAGTGATAAGACTTTTTCTTTTTTTTCTTGGGAAATTGGTCTAAATATTGCACAAGGTTTTTCTGTTTGGTTAATTGATGTTTTTATTTGAGGATCAGACTTATTATTGATATTTTCTAAATTACCAGCGTTGTTGTTGCTATTGGTTTTATTATTCATATCATCATTATTAGTATTGTTATTATTCATATTATTATTTGGATTTATATTTTCATTTGTATTTGTATTGGTATTGGTATTTGAATTTGTATTTGTATTATTTACAGGTTGTGATAAAGGTTCTAATGGTGGTTGTGCTGGTTGTGCTGGTTGTGATAGCTGTGGTGATTGTGGTGGTGATGAATGTGGTGATTGTGGTGGTGATGATTGTGGTGATTGTGGTGGTGATTGTGGTGGTGATGGTTGTGGCGATGGTTGTGGAGATTGTGATGGCGATTCTGATGGCGATTGTGATTCTGAGGACGATTGTGATGGCGATGGGTGTGGAGATTGTGATGGCGATGGATGTGGAGATTGTGATGGCGATGGGTGTGGTTGTAATGGTATTAAGTTTCGTTTCTTTTCTTTTTCTTTTTTCTGATTTTCAATTATACCGATCTTTTGGACTTTTTCGAATTTCTCTCTTTCTCTTTCTTTTTCTTCTTGTAAATGTTGCTGTAGCTGTTGTTGTAAACTATTTAATTGTTGTTGGTGTTGTTTAGAAATGGTAGGTGGTGGAGCTATATTGTTTGCAGATAAAAATGGTGAGTTTGTTGAAGATAGGGGCGATGGAATTGGAGGAGGAGGAGGAGGAATATTTGAATCACCAGATTGATTGGCTGATTCTAATGATGGTGATGGATTTTTTGTGAAATTTAATTTTAGAGCTAAACAAGAAATTTCGAATGATACTGATTTTAATGATACCTCCAGTGATGAATTTGATTGTGGATTTGCAGTAATTCTTCTTTTTAAATCGAGTTCTATACATTTTAATGATTTATATAAACCTTCTAATAAATCTATACTTTCTGGTTCATATTTTAAACCTGCTTTAAAATCTCTAATTGCGTTTGTATAATCTCCAATAGCTGCATATGATGATGCTCTTCTTAGATATACTTTAAATTGTTTTGGTTGCTTATCTATAGATATTGAAAAATCTGTTATTGCTTCAAAAAATCTATTTAATTTATAATATACAATACCCCTATTTGAATAATAAATTGGGTCACTAAATAAAAAAAAAAAACAATAGATAACTTGTTAATATTTATAATTATATAAATATATTGGTTTGTTAGGGTTAATTATATTTACTCTGGGTTTAGCTTAATAGCTTTTGAATAATGTGCAAGTGCAGATTGATACTTTTTCTCTTGGAAATTTTGATTACCCATTAGTTTTTCTTTTGCTGCCCAATTTTCACTACTTGATGATTTGATAAGTGAATAATATTCTTCTGAATCAGACCAAGTTGTTCCATAATTAAACTCACCAGCCGGTATTAATGGGGGTGGTGTTGTGTTTTGATATTTAGGGGGCTCTTTAGCAGCTATTAATGTAGGCGTTAATTGTTTATATAACGGGTGATTCTGTGGTAGTTGTTGCTGATGCTGATGTTGTTGCTGATGCTGATGTTGATGCTGATGCTGATGCTGATGCTGTTGGTTTTGTTGCTGGGATGTGGGTGTTGCTGAGGGAGGTTTTGGTGTTGGTTGTGAATTATTTGAATTTGATTGATTTTTCATATATTTTGCTAATAAATGTATTCTTGAAGGCTCTTCCTCAATGGATAATAAATTAAAATCACTTAGCCATTCCAACTGTATACTTTTACTATTTTTTATTATTTAAAAAAAAAAAAAATATATTAATATTAATATTAAAAATAATTATGATTATAAAAACCAAAACTTACATTTTTGCTAAATTATTTAATGGATAGTCAAAAAAATCAGTATTAAACATAAATAAAGAACCATGGGCATATCTCATTACCCTTTGTAATGATAAATTAGGAGGAGCTAAATTGGTTGCAATTAGATGATCTGCAAATGCCTTCTTAAAATCTTTTGAGAAAAAGTAACCAAATGATCTACAAATATAAGCTTTAATACAATTGGGTTGAATTGAAATTGCCAAAGTGCTATCTAAAATCGATTTTTTATATTCCTAAATTATAAAAATGAAACATTAGAATTTATTATACTATAAATAATAATAATGATGCTATTTAATATGATGGGACTTACATGTAATTTTAATTTTGTAATTGATCTATTTATTAATACTATAACAAGGAAGATTGGATTGTTTGAAGTTGATAATGAAATTGCGGCATTATAATACTCTATTGCACTTTTGAATCTTTCTTTATAAAATTCATTATTTCCGTTTCTAAAAGCATATAAAGCACCCAAAGGTAAATCGCCCATAAATGAAGTATACTTTAATGGATCTTCTATAAACGAGGACATGTCATCATCATCATAATCTGCTTCGCATTCAAGACTATCAAATGAATGTTCAGTTAGCTCGGTACTATTATCGCATAGGGTAATACCGTTTTCAGTATCTTCTGTGTAGTTTGATGGTCTATCCTTATCTAAATATACATGGTTTTCATTACTATTATGCAAACTACTTGAATTGCTTGAATTTCCTGATGTTGGACCGCCATTAAATAATAAATGTGATGTTTTTAAAGATTCTAAATTTAAATTTAAAAAACTTTGATCAATCGAATGTTTATCTACACTAATAGTTGGTAGTTGTACCTGTTGTCTCGATATTTGCATCTTTTTTTGGTGCTCTATTTGTTGCTGTTGAAGTTGATGAAGTTTTCTTTGATAATGCTTTTGCTCTTTTTCTGAAAACTTTTTCGGTATTGTCAATGGTGATCCAATCCCATCAACAATATCTGTAGTTAGTATAGGCGAAGAGTTGAAATTCTGATTTAATTGTTGTTGTTGTTGTTGTTGTTGCTGTTGTTGTTGCTGTTGTTGTTGTTGTTGTTGTTGCTGTTGTTGTTGTTGTTGTTGTTGTTGGTTGTTTTGTTGTTTCTTCTTTGATTTTGCCATTTTATTTACTTTATTCAAAAATTATTATTTTATTAAATTGTTAGCTTTTTGTTGTTTTGAAATTAGTAAATTTGAATTTCTTTTGTTTTCTTTTTTTTTTTTTTTAGGTATATATATAGATTTGTTTTATATGAAAAAAAAAAATAATAAATAATTTAAAAAAAAAAAAAAAAAAAGAGAAAAATTAAATTTTTTAAATTTATTTTTTTTTTTTTTTATATTTTTTTTTTTTTTTTTTTTAATTTTTTTTCTTTTTCGGTTTTTTTAATAATTAATTAATAAAAGTTAGATCACAAACCAATTTTTTTATTAAAAATCATTATTTGTAAACGAAAATAATAAATTTAATCTGCAAATTTTCAATGGTTTTTTTGAAGATTTAATATTAATGAGAGGCCAGATGGGAAGGTTTCCAAATCAAATTCCATAAATAAAGTGCAGCTTAATTTCCCTGAAAAAACATCAAATTTAGTAAGTATGTAAATAGAAAGTTCAAATAGGATACACACAAATGCAGACAATAAACACAAATTTTCAAATAGGGCCCAGATAAATTATAATCAATAGGATTTAATTAAAGCTAAAGTAAAAAACCAAATATTAATAATTGTAATTACCAATTTTCAATTTAATTTGCCTCTAAATAAACCAATAAATGTTTTTTAAAACCTTAATCTTTTATTTATTTTTTTTTTTCCAAATATTTTTCATTGTTTGTAAATTTTTAATAATTTATAAAGATCATCTTGTTATTATGGTTCTATATAGATTATAGATTTCATATTGTTAATTATTATTTTTTGTGATTCCTCAAGAAAACAAGTCAAATTTTTTTTTATAAATTTGTTTGTGTGTTAAGTGTGTGTGGGTTTGATTATTTAGTGTTTTTTTTAATGTGTTGATAAATTTTTTTACATCATGTTTTTTTATAAAGTTATAATCCTGAAAAAGATAGACTAAAAATAAATAATATAATTAATTTTAGTTATAATATAAATTGTTTTTTTTTTAATATTTTGTTTTTTTTTTTTAATTGTTTTTTGTTTTGAATAATTTTTTTTTGTAATAATTTTTTTTATTTCATGTATAACTTCAATTTTTAATTTTATAAATGTATAAATTTGTTTTTTTTATTTTAGTATTTATTTATTTATTTTCTTTTGTGTTATCGAAACAATTTGTAGTTAAAACATACGAGCATTTAGATTGCACAGGCGATGTTTTATTAGTCCATGGAATTTTGTATAGTTCGATAAAAAAATATGCCATCTATTTTCCAGATTATCTAAATATAGATTGTGAAAATTTTAGTAAAGACAACGGTTGTTATATATCGAATGAATGTGGTGAAAAAGGTATAGTATATCCATTTAATAAATGTATTGGTGGATATAAACTAGTGTACGAAAATATAGATTATAAAGGTATGTATATATAATTTTAATTTTTTAATTTTTCTCAAACTTATTTAATTTATTAATACTATATTACTATTTAGAAAATGATTATTGCCTATTAACACAAAGGTAAATATAACAATTATCAAATATTATAATTTAAATTAAATTATTAATGGTTTTTTTTATTTTTGTTTTTTCCAAATAAAGTGATATAGAAAATGAAATGGATTTAAAAGATATCTTATCTTATAAACTTAAGGCAGCAGTAGCCATAAAAAAGAATTCTGATGTTTTTGGGTTATATTATGAATGCAACAAAAAGTTCTTAAGTGCTTACAATTCAACCAAACATAAAGCTTTTGAAATGGATTCAAATAGTGTTTTCCATAGTTCATATTGCGATAAAAAATATGCATTTGTAATTGAAGATATAGATTTTTTAATAAAACCCAGTAAAAAACAAATTTAAAATTAATTTTTATATAAATATATTTTAAAAAATAATAAAAAGAAATAGTTTTTTTAATATTAATGATGCATGCGTTATTTTTTTTAAATTTTTATATTTTTAAAAATATAAAATTTTATTTTTTTTATATTTAGTTTTTGAAATCGATGAAATAAAATTAAAAATTTTTTCTATTTTGGTATAAAATAAAAGTAAAAACTTTATAGTAATAAAATAATAATTAAATAATAATTAAATAATAGCAATTACAAATAATTGATTTTTATTTTTTTATATTTTTATATTTTTTTATTTATTTATTTATTTTATATTTGTTATATAATTTATTTCTTTTTGGCTGGAGCAGCACCTTGGGCAACAAATCTACGAGTTGATAAAACTGGAGTTGGGGTTGAATCAATGTGAACTGAAGTTTCAGTTGAGTTTTTCATTGAAGAGGTACCAGTGAGATTAGTTAAAGCATCTATAAAAAAAAAAGTTTAAAAATAATTAATATAAATATTTTTTTTAAAATTAAAGTAATAATATAATAGTAATAAAGATAATAATTACCAAAAAGTGTCATTTTTTATATGTATATTATTTGTATCGAAAGATTTAAAAACTAAAAAATAAAATTTCTTCTTTTAAATATAAAAAAATAAAACGCATTTTCGGTTTTTTTTAGAAAAACTCAGATTAAAAAACCTTAATTGCTAGGAAAAACCTTAAAAACTGGGAGTGGTGATATTCACCACATACTTTTCCAATCTCCAAAAAAAAAAAAAAAAAATTTCAAATAAAATTTTCTAAAAAAAAAAAAGCTTTTTTTTAAAAATTGATTGAACTTTCAATCTAAAAAAAAAGTTCTAAAAAAATTAAAAAAAAAAAAAAAAGATATAGGTACAATTTTTATATGTTATAAGAATATAAAAATAAATTATTGGATTTTAAAAATAAAATTGTGAAATATTGTACCCAAACGAATAAGTTACATATTTTGTTTAAAGAGAAGTACTCTTTTGAAAAAAATTAAAAATAAATTTATAAAATAAAAAATTATATATTTATAAGTGTATGTGGTGATTATAGATTTATAAAATACATTTTTTATAATTTTCGTTTTTATTAATTTTAATACTATTTTTTTCATTTTTTTTTATTTATATATAAAAATGTTCAAATATTATTTATTGTTTATTTTGTTAATATTATTATGTAGATTTTCTGTATCTTTTAATACTGAAAATCAAAGCGACTCAAAATATCATATTTTAAAATATTATAATAATGATAATTGCACAGGTGATGTTACTATGATTAGGGCTTTGTTATACTCTAATGATTATTGTATAAATTTTCCATATCCTCAAAATCTTGAAATTCTTGATGGAGGTGTTAGATTATCTAGCTGTGACTGCTCAAAAGATAATAGTACATGTGGCTTTTATATAGGGTTTGGTGATTGTGTTAATGGAACAAAGCTATTTTATGAACCTATAAATTATTATGAAGGTGATTTTTGTGTAACTACAGAAACGTATATATAATTATTTTTTATGTTGTTATCTATTTTTATTATTATTAATATTTTTTTATTATTAAGGAATATTTTTAACAAGGAAATACTTGATTACAGATTTATAGGGTTTACTGCATCAAGGAGAAATACATTTATAAAGCATGCACAAGTTATGGTAAAATGTGATTTTGAAAAACTTTTGATATGTGATGAGCCATGTATAGAAATACCAAACAATTATAGAATTTTTGGTGCTGGGGCAAGTTTTCATTTACTTTTAATGGAGGATCTAAATTTCCTAATCAAGCCAATATTTAAAGGAACCTATAACTCTTACTGGAAAGATGTGTTCGAAACTAAATTCCATGGTTCAAGTAAAGAATCAACAATATAAAAATAATAAAATCTAGTTTTTTTAAATAAAAAAAACTTTGATTATATACCAGATATTTAACTATATAGATTTTTTTTTATTTATATTTTCAAAAATAATATTATTTTGTGATAAAGATGTATGAGAATACAATACATATTGAGGAGAAGTTTCCTTGTGAATCCCATAAGTAGGTTCAACAAATAGCATGGTGAATTATAGAAAAATGTTAAAGATAAAAAAAAAATTGTTTTTAACTTTTCCCACCCCCTAAAAAAAATTGTGTTTTGAATAATTGATGTAAATTTTAACATGTATTTATTTTAATGATGTGTGGTTTTAAAGATACATAAATAATAAAATTTTCCATTCAATCAATATTTTTTTTTCAATTTTTATTTTATTATTATTTTCAACTAAAAAAAAACAATTATAATAGAGCAAATATTAAAAATAATAAAATGAAATATATACTATTTCTTTTAATAATTTCATTATTTTTAAAACAATCAAATTCATCAAAAAGTTCTATTATAAAATATTACGAATACCAAAATTGCACAGGAGAAGTAACTATTTTAAGAACATTATTAGACTCCAATGATTTTTGTTTCAACTTTCCAACATCACAAAATGTAAAATTAATAGAAAAAGGTGTATTTATATCAAGCTGCTTACCATGTCAACAAGGTGATTATTTATGTGGTTTTACATTGGAATATAATGAATGTTTTTGGGGTATTACATTATTATATGAAACTTTAGATTATTATGAGCGCAATTATTGTATCACAACAGAAACGTAGGTATATTTTATAAATAATAACTGATTATAAATATATATTAATTTTTTATTTTAAATTATAGAAATATATTAAATAAGGATATTTTCGACTATAGATTTAAAGGATTTACAGCTTTTAGAAGAAATACACTAATATCTCATTTCAATATTAGTGTAGATTGCAACTATGAAAAATTTACAATTGTAGATATACATTATAACCGTTCATTGGAACTACCACGTGTACATCCATCAATGGGAGAAGGTGAAGATAAAAAAGTTTTTTTATTAACAATTGAAGACTCTGAATTTTTAACTAAGAGAAAATACAGAAATAAAAAAAATGACCCATATTGGGATAAAATATATTACCAAATTATCAACAGCACCAAAACCAAATAGTTCTATTTTTAAAACAAATATAAATAAATTATATCATTTAATTGAAAAAAAAAAAAAAAAAAAAAAAATATAAAAAAAAAATAACTTAGAAGTTATAAATAGACTCACTACATTTTATCTCATTCATTAGATATAAAAAAACTACCCGTATACCACATTTCAACACTTTTAAATTTTTTATATTTTATATTTTAAAAAAAAATTAAAACATCATTCCCACATACTGTTAATTTTAAATTAACTCAGTCTCACATCAATCACCACACACAATCACACACATATACCTCAATACCACAAAATTTCATTATAATAATTTTTCTATTATTATATTTTATTTATCTTAAATTTATTAAAAAAAAAAAAAAAATATTTATATACATTATCATTTTTATTTCACAAAAATAAAATCAAAAAAAAAAAAAAAAATTTTATAATTATAACTGTACCAATAGAATAATAATAATACTAATATTAAAAATAATAAAAGTAACAACAATATAATAATAATAATAAATAATAATTATAATAAGATATTCTGTTTATTTTAATTAATAATATTTTGTGTATAAAAATGAAAATAAAACATATTTATTTAATTATATTTTTTATATTTATATTTGATAATTATGTTGAATGTAAAAAACTGTATATGTTGAAACATTACGAGAACGAGGATTGCACAGGGACGATATACCTATACCAAGTTTTATTGACTGTAAAAGAGTATCAATTTCAACTACCTACCATCGAAGACTATTACAAACTAACCTGTATGGGTGGGGAATTGGATGAAATAAACAATAACAACTCTTCAAACTATGCATGTTATGTGGAAGGCTTTATTAGATGCTTAAAAGATCCTGATAACTGTAGAGAATATTATGAAATAAATAAATGTAATAAAGGAAAAAAACTTGTTGTAGAAACGTTGGATTATTTAGAAAAAGATTATTGTACATGTACTGAAACGTAAGCATCACTATAATATACCTATATCTAACATAAATATATAAATATACCTAGAATCCAATAACCCCATTATCCTATAGCCTAAAGTACTGTTTGTTTTTTAATTTTTACTAATTTTATTTTTATTTTTATTTTCCCTATTTATAGAATTAGAACCCATAATTTTATTGATGAACAAATAATATGGGAAGGTGTTCAAATTATTAGAAGAAATTATTGTCATCTCGGATTTACATTGGATTGTAATTATTTCAAATTTGAACTTACTGAATGTGAAACTGGTAAATCACTCTTCTTGACAAATGGTTCGCAAAAATATTTAGAAACGTCCATTCTTAATCCAAATGTTATGGTAACCTATAGACCCAATGACCCTGACTACTATAAAAATACATTAATGACACATAAACAACCAGAACTAAAAATTTTAACAAGAGGAATGCTTACTGATGATCAGTTAATGTATGTGCGTAATCCTAGTGCTGGTATATAATATTATAAAAAAAAAAAAATGAAGAAATATTAATATAAACAAGCAAATAAATTATATAATAAAATTGTAAAATATGTAATATATTTATCATTGTATATACAAACAATGAACCAATCAAAAAAATAATAAACAAAATAATAATAATAATAATAATCAAAAACAAAACAAAACAATAATTAAAAATACTTACCTTAAAACCAAATGGGTATCTATTTCACATGTTCAACAATGAAATATCTATAAATAATTATTTTATTTTTTAAAATAATAAGAAAATAGCTTTAATAAAAAAAAGAAATTGGTTTTTTTTTTTTTTATTTTTTTTTTTTTTTTTTTTAAATTTTATTTTATTTTTAATTTTTTTTTTTGTATTAAAAATTTAATTTTTTTATTTTTTTTTTTATTATCATACCCAACTTTTTTTTTTATTTTTTTTTTATTATCATACCCAACTTTTTTTTTTATTTTTTTTTTACACACACCCACCGCTCTTATATATATATAATTTATATATATATTATTGCACTCATATAATAATTTGTTGTTTTTGTTTTTTGTTTTTTTTCTGATAAACAACTTGTGTTTTATATGATATAAATATATTGTATTTTTTTTTTTTATTTTTATTTTTTTTTTAAATTAAATTTAATTTAAATATTCACTTTATTTTATCACTCACAATAATTTTTTTTTTTTTCGCTATAAAAAATATTTAAAAAAACCTTTCAAAAAAAATAGAATAAGATATAAAAAAATAGTAATAATAATAATAATTATAATAATAACTTTCATTTTATCATTTAAACTATTTTTATAATCTTAAAATACATCTCTAAAATTAATCTTTAAATAATAAAAAAAAAAACTTAATCAAACATGATGACAGATAATTTAATAAATACTAATATTTTTAACAATCATCACAACCATCATAATAATAATAATAATAATAATAATAATAATAATAATAATAATAATAATAATAATAGTGTTAATAATAATAGTGTTAATAATAATAATAATAATAATAATAATAATAATAATAATAATAATAATAATAATAATAATAATAATAATAATAATAATAATAACAATAATAATAATAATAATGAAGTTGACCCAACATTAAGCATTCAAAATACTCAACCTCAACAAGATCTTTTTATCAATGATGATGAAGTTTTAATGTGGGGAAAATTAGTTGCAAATAATTCATTATCTTCACATATTGATCTATATGAAGATGATATTAGTTTGGGTAGAAATCCTAGAAAATGTAAAGTTGTATTACATGACCCAACTATTAGTGGTATTCATTGTCGTATTTTTAGGGCAACTGATGGACATTTTTATAATGGTGCACCAAAATATTTAGTGAAAATTACAGATCTCAGCTCCAATGGTACATTTGTAAAGGGAAATCTTTTGGGTAAAGGCAGGACAACCATAATTTCAAATGACGATATTATATCATTCACATCACCACGTACAAACACTGGTTTATCGTTTACTTTTGCAGATATGTCAAATCCACCACCTGAGGAAACTGATGAAATCTACAAGAACTACATTCTTCAAGGCATTATAGGTACAGGCAATTTCAGTGTTGTTAAAAGATGTATAAGGAGAGATACTGGTCAAGTATATGCTGTAAAAATTATAGACAAGAAAAAATTTTGGCACATTGGAAAGAATAGAAATCAAATTCAAAGTGAAATCAATATACTAAAACAAATAAAACACAAGCACATCATCGGCATCATCGAAGTGTATGATTCAGAACGCCACATGTATATTATATTAGAACTCGCCTCTGGTGGTGATCTGTTTGATAAAATTAAAAACAAGGGCATCTATAGTGAAAGAGAAACTAAGATTGTTTTTTTTCAAATTTTAGAAGCTGTAGCTTATCTTCACAATTTAAACATTACACATCGTGACTTAAAACCAGAAAATATTTTACTTCATCCCAATTGCCGAGGTGAACCAGTCATCAAAATTTCAGATTTTGGCCTAGCCAAAATTATTAGTGACAAAGATAAAGCTACCACCCTTTGTGGTACACCACTTTATGTAGCTCCTGAAATTATTAAAAATTGCTTTAACAATAACCCAAATAATGTACCTTTATCTGGTTATGGTAAAGAAGTTGATGTTTGGAGCTTAGGTTGTATTTTATATGTTTTGTAAGTTATTAAATAATTTTACAGATAATAATAAATAACAATAGTAATAATAATAATAATAATAATAATAATAATAATAATAATAATAATAATAATAATAATAATAATAATAATTCATTCACTATTCCAATAATAATAATAATAATAATAATAACTGTATTATTAATAATTTTAAATTTTTAATATAGATTATCAGGTAGACCACCATTTGATTTTGATAAAGTTTCATCACATAAAGTTTTAGAAGAGCCTGTAACATTTGATTTACCTATATGGGGTTCGGTTTCAAATGAAGCAAAAGAATTAATAAATAAATTTTTACAACATGACCCAAAAAAGAGATTATCAGCAAGAGATGCATTGATTGACAAATGGTTCTCAAGTGATCAATTTTATAGAACAAGAACTGAGGTAGTTACACCATCACCATCACCATCACCATCACCACCACAACCACACCGCCAACATGTTGTTATTCAACTACCAATAAATGCAAGACAATCCAATATTCCAATTTCATTATCTGCCCTTAATACCAATACCAATGCCAATACAAATGCAAATACAAATACAAATACAAATGCAAATGCAAATGCAAATACAAATACAAATACAAATACTAATACTAATACTAATACTAATACAAATACAAATACAAATACAAATAATAACAATACTAATACTAATGCTAATGCTCATAATAATAATAATAACACCCCATCAAATTTAATATATGATAATAACTCACATAATTTAAGTATAAGCGATATTTTTGAAAATCTTCAACAAAAAAATCAGGAAGAAAAAGAAAGAGAACAAAGGAAATTATTGGATATTGATGGCAATAATGATTTTAATCTTCTAATTGATCCCGAAGATACTCACCAAATTAATAATTTATATAATAATACATATGTTAAACCTGAACCTCAAGGTCCACCACAACTACCAACTAAAAGAAGAGGGAAACCAAAACCAAAAGCAGCCTCAGGAGCAACAGCAAATAAAAGAAAAGAAAATCAAATTGATAATGCAGATAATGAAAATAAAGTAAAAATCGAAAAATTTTCAGATGAAAGTGATTCTGAAATCAAAAACAATGTTTCAAATACTATCACTGTTAAAACTGGAAAATCATCTAAAAAATTAAAGTCTAGCAAAGAGGAATAATATCAAAAAAAAAAAAAAAAAAAACCCGTGCTCAATCATTCTTTTATAAATTAATTTTTTTAAAGAAAAAGATCAAAAAACAAATTAAATATTAAATAAAAATTAAATATTTTTAATCAAACCAAATCAAATCAAATAATTTTTTTTTTTTAAAATTATTGTTTTATTTATTTTTATTTTTTATTTTTATTTCAATATTTATTTTTTTATTTTCAAAAAACTAAGTAGTTCATTTTTTAAGTTTTAAATAAAAAACGATGATAATCATTTTTTTTTTAACAGAAAAATTATAGTTTAAAAATAAATTTTAAAAAAAAAAATAAATAAAATTTTTAAATTTGAATTTTTTGCTGTTATAAATTTTATTTTTTTTTTAATTTTTAAAATTTAATTTTTGCATAATTTTTTTTTTTTTTTTAATATAAATATGAAAAAGTTTTTTTAAAATTTTTTATCTTCATAAAACTTTATTTCTTTTTGCTTTTATTATTTAAATAATACACACAATATAATATTTAAAAATGAACTCAAACTACTCTGTTGCTGAATTAAATGATTTATTATCATTAAACACCCCATTATGCAATGTTGTTGAATCAAGATGGCAAAGAAAACAAAGAGAAACTGTTGATCGTTTCATTCCAACCAACAAAATGAACATTGACATCAGTCACTTCAATCTTACTAAAGAAAATTCAAACCCAAACGTTGAATCAACTCTTTACAAAGAAGCTCTTGCCAGTCAAATCTTTGACAATGAATTAGAATCAAAAGTCCTCTCATTCAAATCAAAAGCCCCAATCTCAAATGTTTCATCAGCTGCCAACTCATTACGTGTCTTATACAGCCAAAACCAAGTTTCACAACCAACTGAAGCTGCTCTTAAAAAAGCTTTCCGTCAAATTCCAACCCAACCAGAACGTATTTTAGATGCCCCAGATCTCGTTGATGATTACTATTTAAACTTATTAGATTGGAGCTCACAAAACGTTATTGCCATCCCATTAGGCCAAACCGTTTACCTTTGGAATGCTACTACCTCTGAAATCCAAAGATTATTCCAAGTCGAACAACAAGACGATTACATCACCTCACTCCAATGGACCAAAGATGGTAACTACTTAGCCGTTGGTACCAACAGCTGTGTCGTTCAATTATGGGATGTTGAACACACCAAAAAAATCCGTGAATTACGTGGTCACTCTGGTCGTGTCGGTGCTCTCGCTTGGAACGATTACATTCTCTCATCAGGTTCTGCTGATACCAACATCTTCAACCACGATGTTCGTGTCCAAAACCACCACGTCTCAACTCTCTCAGGTCACTCACAAGAAGTCTGTGGTCTTAAATGGTCACACGATGGTACTCAATTAGCCTCAGGTGGTAACGATAACATTGTTAACATCTGGGATATCAACTCTGAAAACTTTGAAGTTCCAGCTCACACCTTCGAACAACACACTGCTGCCGTTCGTGCCTTAGCTTGGTGCCCATTCCAACCAAATCTCCTTGCTACTGGTGGTGGTGCTGCTGACCGTACCATTCGTTTCTGGAACACCCAAACTGGTGCCTGTTTAAATACCGTTGATACCATGTCACAAGTTTGCTCCATCCAATGGTCAACCACCTACAGAGAATTAGTTTCAAGCCACGGTTATTCACAAAACCAACTCTGTGTCTGGAAATACCCATCAATGGTCAAATGTGCTGAACTCACTGGTCACACCTCAAGAGCCCTCCACACTGCTATCTCCCCAGATGGTGAAACTATTGTTTCAGCCTCTGCTGATGAAACCCTTCGTTTCTGGAGAGTCTTTGAAAAAGAAAACAAACTTCCAACCGCCACCAAAGCCAAAGAAGTTTCAGAAGGTTCAATGATGAGAAATATGAACTCACTCATCCGTTAAACGATAGGTGATTAATATTAGGAATTGTTTTGCTTTTTGTCTTTTTTAAAGTCGTCTGTGATATTACTTTCTTTGGGTTTTTTTTAAGAAAATAGTAATGTTGCTTTATAATATGTGTTTCAATAGCGCTCTATCATTGGTTTTACACATAGTTGTCGTAGCATATTAAGTGCTACAGCTATTCATAATAGCATGCAATTAGGTTAACACTTTTGTAATTCGCTTATTGCTCAAGTCGCCATAAACGACTAGACTAATGCAGTTGTGTGTTTATTGGCGCTCTGGAGATTACTACGAAGAGCTATTAATTGGCTAAATACTAATTGCTTACCTTTTTACCTATTTATTTATAGTTGTTAATATGTTTTTATTTGGTAATCGTAATCAACAAAACTGGTGCAATTATAAATTATAGGTAGGTGACATCGAGTTTTATAGGTAAACGAATTTTTATTTTAGTAAGTTCTCTTGGAGGATGGTGGTTGTTTTTAATTCGGAAATTAATATTTAGCTAGCTCTTTATTTTATTCAATGGCTATCGGTTATCTTTTAGTTTTTCTTTAAAAGATTCATCTCTTTTAATTTATTTTCATTCCAAAAGAAAATTAGAAACTAAAATCGATATAATTTGTTCCCAATAATTAAAATAATTTAAAACTAATTGGATTTAATATGAATTACTCAATCGCCAATAGAAAAGATTTTAAATATTAGTTTTCAAATTAATATGTTAATTTCATTTTGTAGTGAGAAATTCTTTTAAATGGAAGAATTTATATCTACATTAAAGGATGTACTGATTCTAATTTTATTTCAAATGATAGTTGACAAATCTTGTTCAACATTAAGGTAAGATCTATATTTATAAATATAACTTTTTTTTTTTTTTATATAGGTAAATAGTATAAACTTTTTAAATTTTAGTTTACAAAGTAAGTATTTAATTGTATAAAAAGAAACAATTATTTGATATTAACCAAAATATTTCTCTTTTTTTTTTTTAAATAGTCGCATATCAAAAGACACTGTGTACTGTGTTCATGTGATTTAAATTAAAATGGTGTTTTTGAACCCCTTTCAAATTAACAAAGATATAATAAATACTTTATCTACTTTTAAATTAAGATTATTAATTTTTTTCTTTAAAAAATACATTTATATAAAATAAAATAAAATTTAAAAAACCAAGATTTTTGAACTCTAAAATTTAATTTAATTTTAATACAATTTTTTTTATTTTTATTTTTTATTATTTAAAAAACAATAGATTAAAAATTTGTAAAGAATAACTTAATCTGTTAAAAAGGAAATGGGTAATGTTAAAAGTAAAATTAGATATTTTTTAAATTTTTAATGGCATGGATATCAAACACCTTATTTACTTTTGTTTTGTCAATAGAATAAGTGCAGATTGTAATGGGCTCTTGGTTCAAATGATCCAAATGTTTAATCAGAAATTTAAAATATAAATAAAAAAATGAATATTTTAGAATCAAAAAATATTGATTAAAACAATATTTTTGTTTAATTTTATAAATAGTACTTAATGGATGGATGATTGTACATTTGGTAATATCGATTATCCTCCATTGGGAATATATCACTTAAAACTATTTTAAGTTAATATGAAATGACTCCCTTTTTTTTAATTGTATTTGTAATATTGATAGAACTTGTAGTGATAAATATATGGGTTTAAAAATGCATCAATATGTGCAAATAAATATGGAAGGGATTTTGATGATAAAATCTACTATTCTTACTCAAGTTATATAGTATCATTTTCAAAAAACAATAATGGATATATTGTGCTAACTTTTAAAGGAAATCTCATATATAGCTGTCATTTCAATATTATTTTAATACAAAGTTGTGGCAATACTGATGAAGATATAGATATGTCTATGTACAGATCGATACCTGTTCATTCAAAGTTTATTTTAATTATTATTCTTAAAATGTAATTACAGAAAAAATATATAATAGCTTAGAAGTTTCAAGTTTAAAAGAAATAGATTGTATAAAAAAATTTTTAATTTAAAATTTATTTGTTTTTTTTTTATATTTCTTTTATTTTTTTTGTTATTTATTGACTTGAATTGGCTGAATTCCTGGGGGTGAACTTTCTCATATCTCACAAATACGTTGACTAAGTTTACCGGCACCATCTTTCCATGCATTTCCACCTTCACTTGCCCCACTCTTTACATCATTTCCAATTTTACGAACACCATTTTTCCAATCACCAAAACCTTCTTTTGCAAAATTTTTGATCTCTTGTCCCACTTCCCAGAATAAACCCTTCCCCCAATTTAAAGCTTGCTCACTATAGGTACCATTTGCAACAGCAGTTGCAGCAGCGGCACCAACAGCAATACCAGTAGCAACACCCCCTACTTTCGCACCTAATTCAGCACAATCGTTTAAAGCATCATTACCTTGGGTATTTTCCACATCTACCTTGTTTTCCAATTTATCCATATTCTCTTCGATTCTTTTCAAGTAGTTGGCAGAGTGCTTTTTAAATTTGGTTTTGTTGGTCGAGCAATAATCATCATTACTATCAATAACATAGCCACCTTCGTATGGGATTCCTTCTGAGAAAATACTATCTATATCGACTTTGTTGTCTTTAACTTGCATGTGAAGAATATGGTTTTCGATAGTATCATCCCATTCATGACCAGGTACAAATTGCAAGTTTGAAATTGGTAATGTAATATCCATGGTATAGAAAGAACGCATTAAATCGAAGCCAAGACCATTGTCACCCATAATATAGGTATCACCACGCCATTCTGCAAACCCATTTTGATCCCATGCATTGCCAGTGGAAGCAAAAGCTGATAAAAGTGTTTGTTCAATGGTAATAACATCGTTGTTGTTATTCCAGGTCACATCTCTTGGGAATTCCATAAAACAAACAATATCAGCCTCATGATATTTTCCCTTTCTTTTATCCCAATCTATTCTCTTTAGTGCATTCGTTACAGATCTACCAATATATCTTAATGGAAAACTACGTTCTACACCAAGTACATCGATTGAGTTGATCGAGAAAATAAAATAAATACCCGGGTTATCACACTCTATATCTGGTTTACCATATCTGACATAGCCACATCTAAATGAATGGCCTGTTTGTGGGTGTGGGGTTGTAGGTGGTGGATAAAATTGAGCTAATGCTTTTGGTCTAGCATAAGTTTTTAAGAATAAAGTAATAAAAATAAGAAAGAGTAAAGTTTTATTCATTATAAATTTATCACTAATAATGATAACAAATAATAATATCTTCCAAAAAACAATTATTTTTAACTATTTATATTCAACAATTAAATTATCTAGGTGTGTTGTTACCACACATTAATTAATTTTCATTAATTTTTTTTCAAACACACTTTAAAATGATTTTTTTATTTTTTATTTATATATTTATTTTTTAAAACTTTTTTTATATTAAAAAATGAATAAATAAAAAACACTTTAATTAAATTTTTAGATATTTTTATAAAGTATATTTTTTTTATAGTATAAAATGTGTGTTCACGATAAATATAATTTTGATAAATTGTTTGAAGTAACTGGAAGGGAAACTTGGTTTGCTTTAATTGATGACTTTATGGATTCAGATCGTTTCCCCGAAATGGAAGATGGTTGCACCGATGTTTGTAAAGAAAAAATGATAAAATTAACCCAGTATATATTCAAAAACTATATGAACTCGGTATGTTGGTACTACCATGATGTTAAAATTAAAGATAATATGAGAAATTCATGTTATACATTTTATTGCTCTTCAATAAATGAAAAAAGAGAACCCGAAAACTTCAACTATACACCGCAATTAGAAAAAGATAGTAGTTTTTTCCCAGATTATCCAAATGTTTTAAAAGAAAATAATAAATAGAAAACAAAAGAATAAATTATAATAAAATAAAGTTATAAAAATTAAAAAATTATTAATAGTCCAACTTATTTTTTTCCATTTTTTATTATCATTAAATTAATTTTTTTTACAGAAAGTAATATAAATAATAGAAAATGTAAAATAAAATTTTTTTATAAACTGTAAATAAATCTTTATGTCTATTTTTATTATTATTTTTTAAACAGTTTCGAAACCATTAATAATATTTAAATTATTTGGTGAACTTGATTCATTTTCTAATTTTTTTAATTGATTTAAAAAATCCTTTCTTCTTCCTCTTAAAGTTGGATAAGCTGTTTTAAAAGTTTGTTTTTGCATGTGTCTGTGAAATGATGGATAAACGAATGTCTTTCTTTCACCACTGTTCTTTAAATCCTCTAATCTAATCTTTACAGAATTTCTAAATAACTGTCTATTTTTATTTACAAAAAGTCCTTCTTTTTCGATTGTATTGCCAGGTGATTCTTTCTTTGTGGTATTGGGGTTTGCATTACTACTTGATAGCTCTGAAATTAATGAACTAATACTATTACTTAGATTACTATTGCTTGTACTATTACTATTTGTGATTGATGCTGAATTATCATTACTATTTCTGATACTGTTAATTAATGAATGCTGTAATTGAATTTGGGTTTTTCTTTTTAAAATATCTTGGGTTCTACAATTTTCGCAAATTGATTCACCATTTTTTTCAAAGTATCTTCCTCCTTCTAAAACTGCCGAGCACGAATTGCAAGTGAAACAATTTTGATGTAGTTGTTTTCCGTTCACTCTTAAATACATTCCATCGATAAATTTATTACAATGGTCACACTTTGGACCCACTTCAAAATGATCTTTACAATATATTAAACCTTGGTGTTCACCAAATTGACCTTCTATTGGAACTTTACAAGTTTCACAAACCAAGCAAGAAACATGCCATTTATATCCAAGTGCATCCATCATTTCTTCATCTTTAATTGCTAATTTACATCCATTACAAACGATTTCGCTTTGTGCTTCGTTTACTATATGATTGATATCACAGTCAAAGCATATTGGTTTATCATTTCTAATATAATATAGTGATGGGTCCATGGGTGTGCTATCGTCACATTCATAGCAGGAGAAGCATGATCTATGCCATATACCACAGTCTAAAATTACAGGCCTTTGATTAACAATGGGAGAATTGCATTTTGTACAAATTAAGTCATGGGCTTCTATCATTTGTAAACTATCATTAGGTGTGGTAATCGCTGATGAACTGTCATCTTGAATTAATAAATTGCTTGATAACCCAGGTGGTGATGCTGCATCAATCTCTATAACGAGCTTCAAAATTTCTTGATTTAATATCTCTGCTTTGGTGGAGGTTGATAAACTAAGTGAAAGTAAATCTTCATTGGTTCTACTTGGTTTTAATTTTCTATCTGCGAATGTTACATCTGCGGCTGGATCATTTGATATTTGATAGTTTTCTGTATTATCTATTGGTTGTATTTGTTTCTGATCTGGTTGATTACTATTAATACAAGAGGAACATTTTAAAAGTTTTGAGCTTACTGTAACAATAAATTCTTTATCTGCTAAAAAGGAATGGCACCAAAAGCATAAAAAACAAGAACGGTGATAAATTAAATTTCCAAACTCTTCATAATCTGTATTTTTAATAACCAAGCTGCAGCCTGAACATGCTTTAAAAAATCCTGAATCGGTACCACATTCAATGCATAATGTATCATCACCTTCAAATAAACAATCTAAAAATTTTAAAAAAAAAAAAACATTAGATTTTTAGTTTTTTTTTTTGAATGGTTTTTTTTATACTTACTGCTACCTAAAGTTTTTTTACATCTATTACAAGTTATACATTTCCAATGATAGTTTTCAGAATCTCTATTAACTGTTGCATCACTTGATGTAATAGCTTGTTTACATTTTGGACATATAAATGACATCTTTGAATCTCTTGTAGATCTTGGTCTTGGTGATAAACTATTTGAATCTAAATCATTGTTATTACTGTTATTTTTAATATCTGGTGATTTTATAATATTATTGTGATGATATAGTTTGGCCAATCCAGTTGCATACGAGGTATTGAATACTCTTTTATCTTCAATAGACTCTTCCGAAACTGAGCTATCTTCATCCTTATCATCATCTAAAAAGAATAGTTCGATTGAGAAATTACTTGGGAAATGCTTGAGATCTTTATGCGCTTTGTCAATTTCTAATCTACGAATATGAATTTTAGATCCCTCAATAAATGCTGTATGAAAACAGTAACTAAACATATAGCCCTTTGAATTTCTGTTATAAAATTCTAATTTTACATCATTTGATAATAATATATTACCACAATCTAATTCTACCTGTTGTTGAATACCCTTTTTTAATTTCTAAATATAAGAAAAAATTGTTAATAAAACCAAACTTAAAAAAAAAGTATTTAATTCTGTTAATAATACTTACCAATGTTTTTGAGTAAAATACAGCTTTGTCTTGTTGCACAATACATAAATATGGTTCACAACCACCACCAATATTAAAATTAGGTAACGAGTTCATCTTAATCATTGACAATACTTTTACTATCCCAGGTGGCTCCGGTACTGGTCTTCCATATTGAAGTAAAGCTTCAAAATATCTTACATATCTAGCTTGACTTGGAATTGTAACCCCCTTCCCATTATGAGTTCTTTTATTTGCAAATATTCTCATACTTTCTGAGCCTGTTTGGCACTGTTTATTGAACAATAGCCAACAAGCTATCATTGTACCTGTTCTACCTTTGCCTGCTTTACAATGAATAGCTACAACATTTTCTGGATCTTGATCAAGCCACGATTCCTTTTAAAAAAATTTATTATTAAAAAAAAATTAAAAAAAATTTTTTTTAAAATAAAAATAATACATACAACATCTCTGCAAAACTCTGCAATCATATTTAAGTTGGGTGGTGAGTGATCGTCAAATGGATATTCGCTTACTCTATCATCAAATCTGATTTTTTCATATTTTCTTTCTGAACATAAATTATAAACTTTATAATGATTTGGGTGTAATGTATTTAAAAATCTTTGAACGTCCTTCATTCTATTTCTATATAACCCTTCAATTGACTCGCTAGGAAACCCCATTGCTATAATTCTATCTGTAATATATGACAAATCTAAATCGAAATTTCCCCACTCGAATCTCCTTTTCTTTTTCGATACCATTTTTCTAACTAAATCCATTTTTTAATTTACTGTTTATTTATTTTAAATTATAAATAAACTGATTTTAATTTATATTAGATTTAAATTATTTTATTTTATGTATGTTGATTTATTTTATTTTTTTATTTTTTTTATTTTTTTTGTGTGGCTAATGTGTTGGATGCTCGTTTTAAAAAAAAAATAAAAAAATTTCGAGCTTTAATTTTGTTTTATTATTATTTTTTTATTTTTTATAATTAAGGTAATTATGATTATACAATTTCTATATTTATACAAATTTGATCATTGGTTCTATAATCACCCTTTTTTTTTTTTTTTGAATAGCGTGTGTTGAAACAAAAAAAAAAAAAAGGAAAAAGAAAAAATAAAAAAAAAATAATAAAAATTAAAAAAAAAAATTTTAAATAAAAAAAAAAAAAAATTATAATTTTAAAATAAAAAATCCAAATAGGATTTTTTTATTTATTTTTGCTAATAAAACCAATATGGTGTTGTGTTTTTATTTATGCACAAAAAAAAACCACAGTGCTTTGTTATCTTTGTGAGTAAAAAAACTCAATCACAAAATTTATTAAAATTTTTTCATGAAAAATATTATTGATTTTTAATTCGCATTTAATTCTACTAATTTTAGCACTTTTTAATCACCTTTTTTATAATTCTAAAAATAATTTTTTTGTTCATTGTGTGCAATTAAAATAAATTTAAAAAAAAAAAAGAAATATAATTGGGAATAATATCAAAAATTAAAGGTTTAAATAATCACTTTATTAAAAAAAAAAAAAAAAATTAAATTTTTACACTTTATTTGGTTTTTGTTTTATTTTTGAAATTATGTCTTTTGTAGTTTTCGATTTATAGATATTTCATTTTCGATTTTCGATTTTAGATTTTAGCTTGAATTTATTGATTTATTGTTATTATTTTTGAAATTATTAATATTGTTATTATTATTATTGTTTTTATATATATTTGATTGTTAAATAATTTATCTATTAGCTTTAGCACCAGTATCTTTCTTTTTGTTGACTGGTTGTAAAATTTCTTGAAGAGTTGTTTCTGAGGTTTTGATTTTTTCAATTTCTTCGACTTTGATAGCTCTCTTTAAAAGATCAATTGATTCAATAATTGAAGTAACTTCTAAATTTGATGTATTAATAGTTTGTTCTGAACCATTTGCTAATAATAGTATTGTTTAAATCGATAATGTTAGTATTTGTAAAATAGTTATGAATGGTTTATATTGTTTACATACAAAATTTGAGAAGGATTTCTGGTTTGACGAATTCTTCACCTAATTTAAATTGAATTTTACAATCTGGAACAGTTGAGGTTGATCTAGAGTTGGTTGTAAGTGGAATGAATGATCTAAATAAAAAGTTTTTAATGTTAGAATTTAATATAATTAATATGCACTATTGTTATTTATTTATAGCCAATATAACTATTATTTATATCATTCATAATATTATAATTATTCTATTGTTACTATTCATATTATTATCATTATTATTATTCATTATTAACATCATTATTAGGATTATTATTATATTGTTATTGCTATTAATTAAAATGTTTTAAATGAAATCTACTTTATAGAATTTGATTTTGAGCAAAGTGGATTGAAGCTAAATGTGATAGATTTAAGTTTAGTTAAGATGTTTAATTTTTCAGCCATTTCTTTTTGTATATATATAAATCTGATTAAATTAAATATGAAAAAATAATAAATAATTAGAAAAAGAAATTAGAAAAAATGAAAGCTCTCCCACCCAAAAAAACGAAAAAAAAAGAAAAAAAAAAAATTTTAATTTTTTTTATTTTTTTATTTTTTTATTTTTTTTATTTTTTTTTTTTGTAATAAAATTATATATATCAGTATAATTTTTAAATTAATTTTTAAAATTTTATTTTTATTAACATTAACTTTATAGATACCACCTCAACACACACATATACATTTATATATATTTTAGTTAAAACTTTTTTTTTTTTTATTTTGTTTCATTTAATTCAATTATTTTATTTTTTTTAGTTTGTTTAAATTTAATTAAGAGTGTGGGTAATAAATAAATAATAAAATATCCCCACATTGCACACAAAAAGAAATAATAAATACATATAAATAATAATAATAATAATAGTAGTAATATATTTTAATCCAAATTAAATAAAAATAAATAATAAATAAATAAAGTTTTATTTTTAAAAAATTTATTATGTGTTTATAAAAAATAAAAATCATTATAAATTCGACCGACAATACATATAAATATTTAATAATAATAATAATAATAATAAAAGTAGTTATAATATTAAATAGTTTAGTTTATATTTTACTTCGAAATAAATTAGTTTTTTTTCCCAAATAGAAAATTGTATAATAAATAATATAAAAAATATAAAAAATATTTAATAATTATATAAAAATGAAGCAGTTCATAATAGGGATTTTAGTTTTTATAATAATAAATAGTATAAATATAGTAAAATGTGATTTTTTTAGTGATTTTTGGAAACCAGTGTTTTCAAATGCACCAAGATTTTCAAGTTCACAATTATATTCAATAAATGACATAGGATTTAGTGGTTATAGTGGCAGTGTAATGGCATTTGGCGATTTTAATGCAGATAAATAGTATGTTAACCATTAAATGGATTATTATTTTAAAGAAAAAGAATAGACAGCAGTATTAATAGATATCATTTTAATTTATAAAGTTTAGATACATTTTTTTTATATTCAAATAAATCAACAATCCAAGTATTTTTATGGAATGTTGAAGAATGGAAATATGTCCCATCAAATATAATATTAAATTTAAATGCAACAGATCAAATTGTTAATATAGTACCAGGTGATTTTACATATGATGGATCTTTAGATTTATTGGTACAATTTACACAACAAAATAATGGCGATAGTGGTCAAACTATGTATTTATTTATAGGTGACTATACATCAATTAGCTCAAAAGGTGTACCAATTGCTTCAGGTTTGGACTCACCTAGCGACCAAGTATTAGTAATGGATGCAAATGGTGATCTTCATTTAGATATGTTTGGTGTTAAAGATGGTCAAAGAACTCTTTGGATGAATTATGAAGATACATATTATGAAATGCCAGCACCAATGGCAAACGAAAATAGTCTCCCAGTATCGACACCACATAGTAATTCATTTGTAGATTTGAATGGTGATTGCTTAGCCGATCTCTTCATTACCACAGCTGATAAAGATGGTAATATATTTGGTGAAGTTTGGATAAATAATAAAGTGGATGGTTATAGTTTAGAAGTTACATTACAATTTCCACCAGGCACAGGCCAAATTACATTTGGTGATTTTGGTAAATATTCTTTCTTTCTTTCGTTCTATTAAAAATATTTTATTAACTTTTTTAAAATTTTTTAGATAATGATGGCGACATTGATTTAGTTTACCCAGTTAGATTTACAAATGAATCAGTTTCAGTAAACCAAATATTTATCGTTTTTAATAGTCAAAAACCAGTTTGTAATTCATTATTTAGTAACCCATCAACATGTAGACCACAAAATCAATTATGTTTAGCTGATAATTTCCAATTTTCAAATACTTTAAATGATACTGATGGTGTAATTATTATTTTGTTTTATTATTCATTCTTATAGTTTTTTTTATTAATATTTTATGTATTTTATTATTTATAGATTACAGTTATAATTAAAGAAGATCAATTTAATGGATCATTATTATATTCAAATATTGAAAATGGTATACCATTAATCATTCATTCAGGTGATTATAATATTGATGGATTCCCAGATATTTTAATATCATTGGTCGATCAAGATGAAACAACACCACATATTGAACTTTGGCAAAATATACCATGTACTTCAGATTTATGTGACATGGGTCAAAAGGGACGTACATTTGGAAGAGTTACAGATGGTACAGATGCATTAAGATCAATACCTAATGCCTATAGTGCAGTATTTGTAGATTTGGGTGAAAATGGTATAGCAGATATTTTAGTTTGGTCAGGTACACCAAATAACCAATCAATGCAAGCAATATTCAACAATTTTTATAACGATGCATTCTTTTTCAAAACTTTAGGTCTTAATGGTGTTTGTGCAACAATGTGCCCAACTGGTAAAAAATTCCCAGATCCTAAACCATACGGTGTTAATTTCCCAGGTGGTACATTCAAATTCACTTATCAAGATTTATCAGGTCGTACCCACATTCAAATTGGTGCTCAACTCTACTCTAGTAGTTATATGTCTTTACAAACTCCATACAACTTATTTGGTCTTGGTCGTACAAGTAATTATGTTGATCAATTGTTTTATGGTATGCCATTAAATCAATCAGTTCACTATAACAATTGGGTAGGTACCATTCCAAATTCTCAAGTTGTCGCTATACCTTACAAACCATCCACCCCAACCTCTTGGACTTTAGAGTTATTCATCAATCCATCTGGTATTTTCTTTTGGGTTTTAATAGCTTTCTTTGCCGCATTAATTTTATTATCTGGAATTTGTTTCTTCCTTTATAAACGTGAAAAATTACAAGATATCAAAATTAAAAATGAAAACTCTCAATTTTATTTCAATGCATTATAAATTAATTACAAATTTTAATTTTGTAATTATATAAAAAAAAAAAAAAAAAAAAAATAAAAAAAACAGCTCTTCACTTTTTTTTTTTTCTTTAAACAAAAATCCAATGGCCGACCCCTTATTTAAAAAAAAATAAAAAACAGAATAAAATAATAATAAAAAGAATTTATTTTATTTATTTAAAAAATTATAATCTAAATTTGAAGGTTTTGGGTTTTAAAAAATCTAAAAAGTTTTTTTTAACCTTTTAAAAAATTTCTAAAAAAAAAAGCAATATTTCAAAAAATTATTTCAATATTGGGTATAATCAAAATTGTATGGTTTAATTCTATTTTAAATAAATTTTTTTTTATTTTTTTTAAAATTTTTTTTAAAATTTTTTTAAAATTTTTTCCTTTTTTACATTTTTTTTTTTTAAAAATTTTTTT